CCTGGCCCCAGGGTCCAAATCCTTCTCGTTTTGGCAGGGGCTGAGGTCCCGGGCCCAATTCTTGGTTGAGGTGTGCAGGTGCTGGCAGTCAGCTTCCCTGCACCCAGGGTACTTCCTACTGCCTAGCCCAGATTGTGGCGAGGAGGAGTGTGAAAGCGGCCGAACCAGAGCGCCAGCGTTCCAGGAGGGCGAGGGCTGGAGAGCACTTGGCGCCGCCTCCCCTGGCATTGCTGGGCAGGCAGTGGCTCCCCAAAGGCCCACCGCCCGGTCAGATGCCCTCACACCTTGAAATGGGGTGCAGACTCCCAGAGCGCGCCCTGTCCCTCCAGGCGGCCCGCGCCTCCCTCGGGGCACGGAGAACCCCTCTTCAAGGTCTGGGCTTAGGCCCCTGGACCCCCAACCTACCCTGGCTACCCTGCCTGGACCGGCAGCTTCAAGGATGCTTCTTTCCGGAAGGCTTTTTCCCTCCTGGCCATCCCAAATGAGGACACACTTCATTCAGCTTGGCTTGGGTCCGGCGGACTCTCACCCACTGCCCTCAACTGCACCTTGTAGACAACCTCGGCTGCCTCCCGGCGGTAGCCCGCCTGCTCCTTCCCCAGCGCGAACTTCCCGACTCCAGACGCAGCGCGCTGCAGCCGGATCCCTGCCCCTCCACCGCACACTTTTTTGGAGCCACGCCTGCGTACTTCCCACCTCCCCAACTCGTCCGGGTCGGGCTCAGGTTAGCCCAGGGCAGGAACACCCCCGGGGTGGTAGAGACCCGCTCAGGTAGGCCCTGGCACTGCGGCCTGGGGCTCCTTGACTTCCGAGAGCTGGAGTCGGGCCTCTAACCCCTGACCTGAAGGAGCCGCGTTTGGAAGCATTTGTACTGAACAGGGCTCAGCATCCCGCCGCGGAGAAGGAGCGGGGTTCTACTGGGCCCCAGGCGCAATCTTGGGGGTCAGGAGTTGTCTTCATGGCCCCTGGGAATTTTCGGGGCTCTTAACAGGGTGAGCCACCTGGTCGCAACGGGAGCCGCCAGTTTCCCCCACGGGCGTTTGCCACCGGACATTTTGGTGTCTCCCCACTGTCCCTTAGGCAACTTTCTCCTTTTACTTTTAGGGGTGTAAAAAATTATTCCCAGAAACACGGCACTTCCCAGAGGTGGGAGCATTTAACTGGCCTGGAGGTTACTTTTTGCGTGACTCACGCGTGTAAGAAGTTGCCAGGTGCTTGTGCTGGGCGGAAGCCTGTTGTTGCTTTTCAAAGGAATGGTCTCTGCAACTCTTCAGAGTGGGGTACAAAGATTTCTATACAGTGTGCCTTCTACAGAATTCTAGCTCCTCCGCCCGGCGCGGGCTTTTCCGCCCTCTAGTCTAGCGCGAAAACGGCTCGGCCGCTGGATGTGGTGCGCGAAGCCCGCACCCTACAGCGTGGTCCGTCCGCCCTGAGAAAGGAGCCCCAGCGAGCGCCGCCGCGGCCGTCTCTGGCCTCCTCCGGAACCGCGCAGACCTGGGCGCACGCCGAAAAGCAGTTCCTGTATCCCTTCGAACTCGGGAATCGCGGAACGAATAGAAGCACAGGTTTTGACCTGCTTTTGTAGTCGACTCGGAGGGGCCGAACTCACCAGGCACCCGGACAGATACTTTCACGGTAGGAATAATGCAGATATATCAGAGAAAGTGCCAGGGACAGCCGCCCCGCAAATGTCCGAGGAGGAGTAGGTTCTATGTTCGCTCTTCCTCTTAAGTTCTTGGGAGGACAAGAAAGGCCCTTTGGCCCGGCCAGACTGATCAGGGACATATGTGAAGGTGTCTGTCTTCTGGACACTGGGGGGGGGGGGCGGGGGCGATAGGGAAAAGCAAGAAGCAAACGCAGGGGAACATGCCACCACCGCCGGGGTCAGTACTCTGGAAGAATTGCCGGGAACCCCCTGCAAAGCACTGGCTTCTCCAACGTATGGCCCTGCTTTCTCTCCCGCTGTAAGTAAAATGTGAATTACAGACTTACTGCCACCCAGACACTATTTCTCCCTAAATCTAGCCCGTGGTTCTCACTGGGATCCGCGTTTTCTTCCCTCCTCTCGCTCCTCACTGTCAGGCCATGTTACAAAGCAGCCAGGCGGGGCCTGGCAAAGTTTTAGATTGAGACCTCCTGGCTAAGACCTGCCTGGCGACCTCGACAGCCTCAGACTCGGCCCAGCAGAAGCGGGTTTAAGCCACGGAGTTCAGGTAACTTCCAGGTCTATACTATGCGTGCTGCGGATTTGGGAAACCTCCCTTTCTTCTTTCCTATGCCGTATCCAGTTCACAGAAAAGGGGCAGAGAGAACTTGATGGAATGCAAGGTTGACACTGTCCCCCTGCATCTGTCCCATCCTTAGAATGGCCTGCAAAGCTAGTCATGTTTAGAGGTCCCGGTATTCAAGGGAGTGCGTGTGGCTAAAAGATCCCCGTAGAGATCCGGGTTCCAGACTGTGCCAAGCCGGGCCGGAACCCTGTTTGCGTGTCCGGGCAAAGTAGCGCGGTCGCAATATGCACTCCGCATAGCCCGTGTTGTGCGTGACGGGCTGTCGCGGCGATGTGAAGCTCACTGACACTGATGGATGCGCCAATGGTTGGACGGACAGATGTTGGGGCGGATTGCACTCCGCGCGGCCCCTGAACTGGGGAGGGCGAGGCAGCGATCAGGCTGTGGCTGCCGGCGGCGCGGAGACGGGAGCTCAGGCCGAGGCCGGCAGGGGGAGGGGGCGGAGGCAACTGAGGTTGGGAGAGCAGCGCGAGGAAGGAAAGGAGTGGGGAGCACAAGCCAGGGCGAAACTCTCAGCCTTCCGTGCGCGGCGCCCAGCGCCGTGCACTCACTACAACCGGCGGGCCTAAGTGGGCGCTCGGCGCGTGGAAGGTGAGCCGGGGGCTGGCAGGAGCTGACCTCCCGCGGCGCCTACCCTCCTTCAGGCAAGTGGTGCTCAGTGCCGCAACCAGAATCCTAGAATCCTGAGGCCACGGGCGGCGTCTGCCAACTCACCGTTTTCTCGTTCGCAAAAAGCGTTTCACGCCCTACGGCCGCGTCTCCCGGGCCTGGAGGGACAGTCGTTTTGGCCTCTGCGGCCGCAGGCACCAACTGCACGCCGCGCCCCCGCCCCCGACTCCGCCTCACAAGGCCAGCCTCCGAGCCCAGCCTCCGCTCGACTCCGACTTCCCGCAACCACCCGGGGTCCGCATCCCGCAACTCCGAGCGCTCTTGCGCGCGCCAAGGCGCAGGAGACGTCTTTATAGCCCGGGAGGACGGCGGCGGCACATCTGCATTCAGGGAGGCGTCTGGACCGAGCCCAAGCTCTTAGGCTGGGGGCGAGCGGAGACTTTTGATCTTACCGTCAGGGTGAGATCACGGTCTCCTAGTCTAAAAGAGAAAGCATGCCTGTGAACTTTTAAAACAAACTTGCAAAAACAATCACAAAGAAAAATAAAGAAAAGAGGGGGCAGAAGAAGAGGGAGAGACTAAAAAAGAAACATAAGGTGGGGGGGGCGGGGAAGGAAGGAAGGAAGAAGGCCAGGGTTTGCAGCTCCCGGAGCGCTCAGGCAGCCAGTCCCAGGGCACTGGGCTCCGGCCCTCGCCGGGACTCTCGGACGCTGGGCCCAGGAAACTCCCTGGGCCCCAGCGGCGCGCCCGGGAGCAGCACCGCCTCGGGGGCAGTAGGCCTGGCGGCAGCCCCCGCATTCCCGCCAACGCCGCCCGGCAGCGCCCGGAGCCGGCCCCGCCGCTGCCGCCCCATTCCCGGCCCAAGAGCTGGCCTAGGGAGACGCAATCGAGCCCACAGCGCATCGATGCGCCGCCGCCCGCGCCTCTCCGGCTCCCGCTCAGTCGGCGCCGCTGGGGGGTCGTCCCAGTGAGCTCCGGCCCACCAGCGCCCTAGCGGCCGCCCGTAAGTGAGCCCGCTTTACCCCGCAGCCAACGCAGCCCTGCCAGCTCCTCCTCTCCACGGCCCGCCGGCCCGGCCCGCCGCGAGTCTCAGCGATCCCAATCACCCAATCAATAATCAATTCTGTTTGCTCAGTACTGCTGGCTGGCCGGGCGCAGGGCGCGGTGGCCCCTCTCTGGGCGCCCCGGGGCGAGGGATGGGCTTGGGTGCCCGAGTTCCTGACCCCGTCGCCGTCCCGCCCTGCGATCTGCCTGCGCCGGTGGTGGGGGGCGCGCCCCGGCGCCTAGGTGGCGAGGGGCGGGGTGGAGGTACCCTGATCTTCCCAGTCAGGAGAGGAAACTTGGAGGCACCCCCTCCCACACCAACCCCCGGGACGGCCCGGGAAAGTTTGCCCGGAAAAAAAAAATTGGGGGAAGTGGCTGCGGCGGGTCCCGGGGGAGGAGCCCTGGTGGCGCGGGGTCTGAAAGCAGCCCCCACCCACTCGGGCCCGCGCCCACTTCCTCCCCCGAGGGCGCCGGCGCCCGCCCGCGGGCCCTGCCATCCCCGGGGGTGCGCGGGCCCAGGCCCGGGGGTCCGAGCTGGGGGCTTTGGACGCGGCGTGTGGAGAGAAGTGCGGCCTGGGAGGGGCATCGGGGGACGGCCAGGGGGCGAGGCCGGGTGGGGAAGAGGGGCGGGCGGGAGTAGCTAGCGGCCCGGGACGGGCTCGGCCGGGCCGGCGCCGCGTCCCTGCTTTCGCGCACGGGGCGGAGGCGGAGGGGCGGCACCCCCTCCCCAGACTGGGCGGGGGTCCTAGACAGGCCCGGGGCCGGGAGCGGGGGCGCGGCGCCCCCGCGGGCGGGCGAGTGACACGATCATCTCCTTTTCCTTTAAGCTTGCCTGTTGCCGACGCCGCCGCTCCAGCCGCGCAGCGGGCATAAGACTGGACCGCCGAGCCCCGGGCCGCGGCGGCGGCGGCTGAGCGCCCCCTCCGATGCCGTGACCCCCTGCCCGGGGGCGGGGGCCGGGGCTTCACCGGCCCGGGCCGCTCCCGCGCTCCTCCTCCCACCCCTCTGCCCGCCTTCTCCCCCTCTCCCCGCCCCCCGGCCCTGAACCCCGCGCACCTCGTCTGGGGACGGGGCGGGGGGGGGGCAGGGCCGCCGCTCCTCCCCGCCCCCTCCTCCTCCGGCCTCTGGAGCGATTTGTCAAACTTCCCAATCCGCCGGCAGCGCGGTCCTCCTCCTCCTCCTCCTTCACCACCTCCTCCTCCTCTGCCTCCTCCTCCCCCCGCGCTCCTCCCTCCCCGCGCCTCCCTCTCCCGCCCTCCTTCTTCCCTCCGCACGTTCGGGGATCGCGGCGGAGCGCGGAGCGGGGGGGACGCGGAGAGTCGGGGCTCAGCAGCATCCTGCGGGCGGCCGCTCTCCGGGGGGGGAGGCTGAGAGCCGGCCCGCCTCGCCCCCCCGCGGGCCCGCCGCCCCTCCCTCCCTCTCCTCAGCCCGGCAGCGGCGGCGGCGGCGGCAGCGGCAGTCGCCGGAGGAGCATCATGCCGAGGAGGAAGCAGCAGGCGCCCCGGCGCGCAGCAGGTACGAGCCGCTTCCCCTTCCTCCTCTCCTCCGCCTCCTCTTCCTCTCCTCGCCCCGCGTCTCCAGCCGGCGGCGACCCCGCTTCTTGCCCCGTTCCTCGCCCCTCTCGCTCTGGCCGCGCAGAGTAACTCCGGGGCGCCGGGCTCGCTTGCCGCTCTCCTGTCTGGTGCGTGCGCCCGCCTCACGGACCGGCGCCCCCCGGACGCCCCGCTGCGCTCTGCAAACCCCCCCCCCCCGCCCCTTCCCGCTCGCACCCACTTCGGGAACCGTGCTCGCTCGCGGCGAACTGAGCCGGGCTGGGTCCCTGCCTCCTCAGCTCTCTGCCTGGCCGCGGAGAGAATGGGAAGGAGCCCTCTTCTGTCTCTTTCTGTGGGGGCGGGCGGGGTCACCTGAGTTCTCCGGGACACCTTCCGTGTCCTCCCGCGGCCGGCCGGCGGGGGACTGCCTGGTGTCTCTGCCGAGCGAAAGAGAGCGAGTGAGCGAGCGGGTCCCTTCGGCCACCTTACTGCTAATCCGATTGATTCTTCATGTATTGGGCCCAAACCGGGCACAGCGGTGGAAAGCAGAGCGCACAGGGTCTGGGTATTGTCAGATGACTGTCAAGTCGATGTTAGATGCTGGCGTTCCCTTTTCCCCGGTTTGTTTTCGCTCACCCCCACCCTCCTTCCACTGCTTCTCCCATCCTCATCTCCTCATAGCACTTAGTTCTGGGACGTGTCAGAGTACTTTCTCCCCATCACCCCCCGCCTCTTTTTTTTTTTTTCCAGGAGTGTCAACTCCTTTTAAGACTGAGCCGGGTTTTTTTTTTTTTTTTTTCTTTTCTGGAAAAAGCATTGAAAGCAAAACAAAACCCACACACATAACATTATTTTGCAATAATGTCAGTTGGGGGCATGTTGCTTGGAAGAAGGGTTTCTGGCCCTTTGCCACCCTTGATTTGATGACTGATTGATTGCCCATCATGCTGCTGCCTTTGATCTATTCATTCCCAATAAACATCAATAAATCACTTGAAATGGTGAGGCCAAGCTCTGTGACGTCACTAGGGCCCTGTCAGTGCAACTTCTGGGATTTGGGGCGGATTGCTGAGAGGACCACATATGGACAGGATGTATTTTGATATGAGTAACACTCAGATGTGCAGAGGTTCAGATGCTGCCTGAAGGGGAGGGTTAAGTGGAGGTTCATTTCTTTTCTTTCCTTTTTTTTTTTTTTTTCCTTCTCTTCCTTTCTTTTCTGTTCTTTGCTTTTGTGGAAGAAGGGAGGGGAGGGAGAAGGGTCAGGGCATTGCCTGGTGCCCTTTTTGGATGAAAGTATGGTACCCATGTTGCCCCAGAGTGCCTGTAGTAGCAGTGGGGGTGATGGTGATGGTCATTTCTGTCACTTCAGCTGGCACTGCCGGTAGAGCTCACACACCGGCTGCATCTGAACTTGAGTCTTCTCACACAGGATCACAGAGAGGAAATGCTGTTCTTTCTTCTCCCAAAAATGTACTGTCCTGTCCTAAGAAAATCGTAGAAGAAAACAGACTTGGTTTGGGGCATATATTACAAATTTTGCTTTCTGTCCTCAGGGTTACCCAAATTTAGAAAGTTTGAAAATCCCAGTAGTGGTTGTAGGGAGGGTGCTGCCTCTCAGGTCACCTCCTGGCTGGTGCTTTTTGCCTATCCCATCTTCTACTTTAAATTCCAAGCTCAAGCAATGAGCTTATCTACCCAAAATAAACTCTCAAAGTTTGGAGGACTCCTTCACAAAGTTGGGCAGTAGGAGTGTCTTGGACTGCTTCCAGTCTTTGGGATTTTTTTCTTTCCTTTTTGGATGCACATTTGAAGGTATCTGTGTGCCTCAATCAGATGAACCATATGTGGCTGCATCTTTACATTTGGTTTAGAATCCTCTCCGCCTTTGCTTCATCTTTTTCTCCCACCTTGCCAATCTGAGACTCTTATTTGATAAATTTCTGCTAAAAATAGTAGAGGAGGAGGAAATGTGCTGTTGGTTTTATTTATCTATTTTTTTAAAGCAACCTGTTCACTGACCTTTTTGCACCTTTTAAAAAGCCAGCCAGGAAATCTCAGGTCAGTTAAGAAATATTCATTATATAAAAACTTGACTGCACTACTGATAGGAGCTGGAAGAATGGTTTTGCTCTATCAAAATGACCCGTCAAAACGACTTTGTTTCATATTTGATTTAATTGTCTCTCTCCTGACAGGCACATTCATCAATAGCTTAATGGTCAATCAGAAGTTGGCAGCATGAGTGCTTTTTTTCTTTCTCATACCCGGGTTTTGGATTTACTTTATCAGAATGCCTCTGCCTAATGGACGTGTGGAGGAGGGGGGGAATGTCTGAAGGGCTACTTATTTAGGAGAGTGGAGGAATAAAAAAAACCTTCCACATCCAGGCTGGTGATAAGTATGCACAGGCCAATAAGTGCGCTGTGTGAGTTTGTTTGTTTATTTGGACGGACAAGAAACTTCCCATTTTTTTCTCCTTTTTTCAGTTCTCCTAGCTGCAAGTTATAAGGTTCATGCCTGCGTTTGTGGCATACTGGGAGTGCTGACAAATTGATTGCTTTGTACTGATAGAGAGTGGGGAAAAAGAAAGATGTCTGCTGATTGGTAACTGGAAATCCATTCCCCAGCAACCTTGAGGAGACTGGAGAATTTTTCCCCCCTCCAAACTGAAAGGTCCGTTCAGCCATAAAAAAAGAAAAGTTGTTTTGCCAGCTTCATTAGTGTTCACCTAATTAGCTGTAAACCTGATGGATTCCTGACAGCTTTAATGATTGGAGATGACAAGCTCGACGCAGTGTCATCCAGCAGAATTAGGTTTGCAGCTAGTTTGATGTAATCAAGTTGATATTACACAGTCCTGGCTGCCTTTAGTTGTGCATTAACTCAATTTTCTGCTGCAGGTGACAAATGGGCTTTGGTACCTGGATAATCATGTCATAGGAATTAGGGCCCTTTTAATGGTCTGGGGGTAGAATAACAACCACAAAGGGCTGAGAGCTGGGGAGAGCGTGCAGACATAGCACACAGGTGCACACAGTTTTTACATCTAGGCCAAATGTAACACTGTTCTCCAGAAGGCCAAAGCAGGCTCCAAGAATCCCTGAAAAGACGTATTTCTGCCCTTTAGGATTTCTCTGTTTTTGATAGAAATTATGCACGGCTTAGTGTCTTTCCTTAAAGGGGAGAGAGAAATTTCTTCACCTGCTGAAGAGAAACCTGGGCAGGAGTTTCCTTTCTCCAGGCATGTAATTTTAAAGGGCTATACATTTGTGCTGGACAAAAGCTATTGCCTGTAGAAGTTCAGAGGAGCGGGGTTACAGAGGCCCCTGTCCTTTGGGCAAAACGACCATTTTCCCACTCTCCTATGTGTAGCATTTGTTTTTCAACAAGTATTTTTTGATAATACCGGAAAAGAAAGTCAAGCAGTACTTAATAGCAGATCACATTTTATTCTTTCCTGTTCATTTTCTGGAAGGAAGTGTAAAATCATTAAAAGCCATTGCCTAAACTCCACCCTCCCCTCAAAAAAAAAAAAAAATCCAACAAATGACAACTTGCCACTGACCTTTTGAGTCTTATTTGGTGAAAGAGAATAACCTTCCATGGAGTTCTTAGGTGGTCCCACTGCAAAGGTAAACCTTCAAGCATCTTGACTTCTGTCAAAGTGGTTTGGAGCCCTTAGGACCTGCTGGGGTAACAGATCACTGTGGGTCCCCAAGGAATAGGATAAGCTCATGGTGGCACAGCCTGGGGGTTTTTACTTTGTCGGTAGACACGGGCAAACTAAAAGGTGGCACACCTGGCGGTGTCCAAGTAACACCATCCCAACCTTCCTAAGTCTCGTGCACATACCAGGCAGCTCCAGAGAGGAGCTTTTCTCTCTTGGAAGTACATGGAGCATTCAGGAAGGCATTTCGGCATCAGCCTTGGGAATTTATTTGCTCTCAAACCTGCCACACGTCTCTCCTTTGGACAGACGTTCTACCCTGTAGCAAGGTGACAAAATGACTGGTTTTGGTCGCTCTGTGATTCCCCGCACCCCTTTTCCTACAAAATGAAAGGAGCAATGTAAATTCTAAAAAAAGAGAAATCAAGAAGCTGAAGGGGAAAACAAAGAGGGCAGGAGGCAAGGCTATTCCCCTGGACATCCACACAGGGGAGAGAAGCTTCCCGAATCAGCTGCTGTGCCCCCATTATCTTGACAACTGTCAGTTAGGGCTTCAGTGCTCTCCAGGGCCACCCTTGATTGTGAGCAGTTGATGTTGTCATTTTGTTCTCAGTTTTGCCTTGAGCGTGCTCGTAAACAGGAGCCAGGTAGTCAATAACTGATGTATCAGCAGTTATTCCCCAAATTGCCTCGCAAGTCTGCATTTTTCCTCTTTTTTTTTTAAACTAAAGATTGTTTTGTAAACTGATTAGAATGAAAGGTGACTGCTCAGGGCCGGGGGAAATGCCGTGAAACCCAGGTGAGTTCCCAGAACGAAAACCCTTCGTTTCCCTGCCCTCCCCTTCTGGGTTCTGGAGAGAGAAGGGTCACCTTCTTGAGGGCGAAGCGCCTGGCCCTTTTTGGGGGCCTTTGTCTTTCCCTGGTGTCTGGCAGAGCCAGGCCGGGCGAGGGCTGTGGATGCAG